CTGTATCTAAGATCATTGTCTTGAAGTAAACTGGTTTCCTTGTAACCTATCATCTGTCTTTAAGTAGCTCTATGAAATTGGTAGTCATTTTCATCGTATCACTAGTGAAGCTATTTGTCTTTTGTAGTGTAGATATAACAAGGTTGGATTTGTTACTTCCGAATAAATTAGGCATTAGGTATCTAGCACTTTTTACAAAAGACTTAACAATGGCTGTTAACACGGTTTAATTACTAAGTACAAGTTATTGTACTCGGATTTGAATCATACTTATTATAAGAGTCACTGTTATTGAGCGGCTTCCAAACCGAAGTCAGTTGAACATAAGCAACACATAAATTGAAGTATATCTGCCTCAGTTCAAGTCACTACGCTGCATCAGCACAACGAGATGTAATTATCATGATAAATACCAGAGTATTAGGAGTTGTAGTATTACCAGTGATGGCAAAGAGGATTTTGTATAGAGAATATTATTATGGAAGAAAGGATTTATTCGAAGAATAAACCGTTAAAAGTAGTTTTAAAACTAGATCATAGAGAAGACGAAGAGTGAATTCATATGTGCCATCGTGATCGATTATGAAACATGTTACCCATGGTTTGTAATTCCCAATCGCCGTTATCGCCCCAACCTAACCAAGTAATCTATGCTTACCATCAGCTCAGACCGCCAAACAATGACTTCATGGACTAATTCCACGCTTTAGTTTGTGAGCATCTAAATTCCTTTCGTTCTGTTGCAGAAAACATTACTCATCAGAATTTATAAGCGAATAATTTTCATTAACATTAATTATTGTTTAGTCTGTCCATATATCAGGTTATCTCTTAGATCCTAACTGGTTTTTTCGAATAAATGTGTTGGGTTCAACCACTATTTTTTTACTATTCACTAAACCGACATCCTGCTCTGTAATAAGATGTTTGGGTAACTACTTAGTACGTTGCTTTCATACAATAAAGTAAACAACATTGCTCCAAACTCGCTCTTGCTGTTTATATTAATGACCGCTATATTACAACAGAGCTGTCCGTGTCACGTGTTCACTTTTTTCTGTTATGGTTGATCTTTTTATAGAAAAAGTAAATTCCGATTATTTTGAGTCACAACAAAGATAAACTAGTATTTTTAACACCTAATCTAGATAGGTTTTTATTATGCAAACTGATAAATTATCCATCACTAAGATTAGTTAGTATTGACATAACAATTTATAGATCGGTTGTCGTTATTTATATCTTTCCTTATCAGTGTAAGATTATGTTTTCCAGTTCATTAGTTTATTTTTCCTGTCTCGGGATGATTATAGTATTGAGTTAGGTTTGTTTCATTCGACTAATCTCTATGATCATTGGTGCTTTATTAATAGTGCACTGTATTTAAAGACATTTGTTTTAAAATCAAGTACATATTCCATCGATCTAATAAACAAAAATAGTATTCATCAATAAGCCATTCAATGTTTAAACATACACAAAATGAAACGATATGATTTAGTAACCCTTAAGTGCTCAAAAAATATTCAAGTATGTATGAAATGAGGCTCTACAGATTTATACATGTTTACTGTTTGAATTCATCCTACTTCAACTTATTGATTGTCCAGTATTGTATCGCAAAACAATCAGTAGATCGGTTAAAACATGACCTAATTTACTATGGTAAACTTTCTTAATCGATATATGAACATGAATTCAGAAAGTAACACATTCGATCAATGAAAACCTTGAGTCAGTGATCCTGGTTATCTGAAAAAATGTGAAACATCATGATGATTTCGTCATAGCATATGTAAGAACTCTGTTAATATGTTTAAAAATAACAAAGTTTCTATTCACTCCCCAACATTACTCAAAGTTTGGATACTGGTACTATTATTCAAATTCTTTCTTCCCGAAAGTTCCCAGGCATCTTAAATATATCAAAACTGATGCAAGGTGGTGATTAGAAATGGGTAGAATGAATCCTCAATTTTTTTGAGTATTTTTAAATATAAAGTGCCTTGTTTTGCTAGTATCATCGTCTTCCTACAAATTTTATAAATCAAGATGTACTTTCAGATAAGTAAAATTGATGACCTTATTTTCTACTCATTAGTTGGTGGGTCATATGAACAAAGTTTTTTTCTTATTGAACATCGATAAGCTCAATTTACTAATCATATGCAATGTTGGTGTGATAATAAAGTTACTTGAATTAATGTTTGCTTTTACTTTTTCACGTTTACTACCTGGCTTTTTGCCCACTACCGTCAAGATGTACTCAAGTAATGCAGATATTCGGTTTTTTGTCATTGAATCAGAGAGATATTACGTGCTACAGTCAAAGGTATTTTTGAGCTCAACATTATGAATATAATTCGATTCCATAAACAAAGCTGAGTAGTATGATCACACATTTTTCTAACAAACTGTCAGTGTATGCTTTTGTTAGAAAGTAAAAATATCTGTTTTTGTTATCTTGGCAGCATGATTTCTCGCTCGTATTAAATACCTTTACAAGCAACGTGAAGTCTCGTGATTTATTTCATGTGGTTACAATGTGTTATGGTAAGAGAATAACCTTAAGGAATGCTTCTTCGAGTCAGCTGAATTCCAAGTCTACATTAAAACCCAATATTAAACTCATAGATTAACATGCATGCACAATGAGTTACAATAATTATATTGTAAAGGCAAGCAAGTTCGTGCATAAGAACTACACTAGACTAATCTTGAAATAATTCGGCTTCTTTTACCTTGTCTAGATATCACTGCTTAAAATCGTCTCATTTTTCATCGAGATTAGATACGTGTCCGTAAAGTTTTAGCTCGTTTGTTTCACAAAATGTGTGCGGTCCAGAGCACTGTTAGCTGTTTTTTCGTTCATTGAATAGATGAGTGCATAATTATTACTAAGTATTTCATCCCAAGTTCCCACTTTCACTATATCCTTTTCATTGGACAAGTTGTTTTCGTTCCAGTGATGTATTCGTAGAATTCATATATGGATAGCTTCAAGTAATTGAAATGAAGTCAGCGGAAATCATGTGCTTATACGCAGCACTCACTAAATTAGTAGGGAAGCGCATTTTCATTTAATATTGAAACATGAATAGATAACCTGACAAGTTTTTTCCTCTCGTTTCGATTGTTCACCTATGCATATTAATTTGGAACGGTGTGTTATGGATTTGCAATTGTATTCAGTTAATTAATAATAAATAAAATCTATTTATTAATTAACTTCATTATATTTCTACTCTACTTACAAATCGTTCTTACGATAAGGCTTTACCATAGTTCTGCTTTCAGTTAAACGTGAATGATTAATGTTCATCTGGGGAAACTATGGCATCTGATTTTGCTAGTGTTGATGTCGGACTAGGCAGCACTATCGATTGGATCCTCATTGACAGTCAGTTGTGTTGTTAGATTAGAAAGCTCAACCAAAATGAGGAATCGGTGTGACAAACGACATCTTTTCCTACGCTCTGAGATTTCAGCACAGATGTGAGCAAGGATGGGTTTTATTACTGTAGTGAACAAGAACACGAGTGGGGACAACCGAATGTAGTTTAGCACGAAATCACAGAATATCTCACTAAAATCTGAGAACCACAGAGTAAATACTTAATTTGCAAAATACCAATTCATCGTCTCAGATTCCACACAAATTGCCTTCCGTTTATTCCTTCTCCATCTTCTTCTGAAATACATTTAATTCTTGACTATCGCTACATACTACTTACGTGAATATAAGTAGCTCACACCACACTACCAGTTAAATGTTCTACAGAAAGTGCATTGGACGGATATCGCAGTACCAGTTGGAGACATGAAAACTGTTTGCGAGTCATTTGTGTGACTAATGGGGATTCGCTCACAGGTCGGATAACGGTGACCAACTACTGTAACCTTGCGCAGGCTACAACCTGTTTTTCACTAGCACTAACTGTTGGCACAGACTACCTGGAGACCTCTATCTGCAACTCAAGTCTGGACTAAGATTAATCGTATCGCAATCAGCTACCGTTGACGTGACGATGTACAAGACTCATACGCCCCAGTCCTATCTTAGGTTTCAGTAGTCAAAAATTCTGTGATTCAAGCAGATTGGTTTCAGCTTCTGTTGCAACTAAATACCAGACCAAACTAGGTTCAATACTAGCTATCAACCCACCAAAAAGTAAGGATGTTCTTTAACCTTTAGATGTCGATTTGATCAGTTTAGGATATTTGATTAATGCATAATAAACACTAAATTTTTTTCGTGTAATATCGGTCCTTGTTCTGTCATACAGTAACAAGTAAACAATTTTGACCCTAGTCATAACGAGTAGAAGTACCATATGTAGTAGCCCAGTCGTACGTTATCAAACTTATACTTGAAATTCTAATAAGTGTATATTTTTAGTATGTTTGTCTGTAAGAGGATTGTTTGCTTCATTGCCTTCCTTCAATTTTTAACTCACTTCGCAGGCCTTTTGAATTTTGTTTGCTAGATGTGTTATCGTAGTAAAATTCTTCGTATAACACATGATCCTTCCTAATCCTATATTCCCTCGTGTCTATTGTACTGAAGTTGGACCTAAGTGTCATTCATAAACAAGACATTTGTAAAGTGTGACCAACCGAGTTAGAAATCGTAGGATATATTTAGCGCAGTATCCTACCTAACAAGAACGTCATTACAAAAACATCCATGAGTTGTAGTGAAAGTAAACAAAATTGGTCACTAAGTGTGGAAAAAGAGTCGTTCAGTTTGTTAAATATGTAATCTCCCCTCTTATTCATTTTTACTCTACACTAGCTAAAAGTGACTGATTGTAACTGCGTAGAATACATTATTATCTAATGTTACTCTAGTTCTCTATTTTGGTCGTGAATCGGTTATCTGACATAATATAATCTAGTCCATGTATAGCGGATTACCGATTATCCAATCTAGCTTATGCATAGATTTACATCTGGGAGATCGTCTTGATGCAGTTGTTCATAAGAACCAGAAGAATTATGTGATTTTAGAGATTATATTAATCAAAATGACTTTTGAGTAGTAATCAAAAGAATATATATATATATATATATATATATATATATATATATATATATATATATATATATATATATATAGTGGTGCTATGACTGAGGAAATAATCTCAACTAGTAATATCGGTTGATGGGCTGTACCTTGAAAAAACCAACAGTTTTTGATAACATCATTTTTTAATGTTAGCTAGCAGCACAAAACATTACTTCTATTTTAATATCTACCAAAAAGAGATGAAAGTTACAAAAATGAAAACACGTATATAAGATACAATTCTATGAAATAAAACACAACGCATTCATTTATCAAAACTGACTTAAGAAGAATTGGTGGTATACTGAATCGAGTCGAATATTTAATCGCATAAACATGTGGAAAAGAATCCAAGTGAAAACAATTTAGTACAAAAAAAGAACTAGCAATGTAGATAAGATACTCAACGTATAGAACATTGATGGCGTTTTTCAGTGAAACAATGATGACTGAAGTAATATGAAAAATCAAATAATAAGAAGCGCGATAATCTTCGATATATTCGAGAAAACTTGACGATAAATAAGTCTATTTACGAGTTTGGAAGATCTGCAATGGCCTACAATCAAAATTTAAAGGAATTAATTACTAAAAAGCGTTATACACAATCAAAGTGCTATAAAAATATTTGGATATGAAATTACAACTTATAGAATTAATCTGGTGTTTATGATCAATAGCTTACTAGAAAAGTTAAAGATTGAAAATAATGTTTCTTAACTCTTGCTTTCTAATTATTGATCAACAGATATCAGGGTTCGGTGAGCATCAGAGTGAAAATTTTTGTAAGAATGAACAAAGTGATGTTTGAATAGTTTTTTCAAATAAATGAAGATGGTAGTAAATGAGTTCATTAATTCGATCTGCTATAATTTTTTTTAAAAATATATGAGTTAATTAGCTGAATTTAGCAATTGAGTAAACTATTATTTATGAAGAAACATGATCAGTATAATAGGGCACCAAGAAATTACCACACTTAAATGGAAGGTCAGTGATACTGCTCAGTTAGAAGTAGCTAATTCTTTTGAAAGGACACAATCATCGAGTGATTGCAGGAACGTCAGAAGTATTGTCATGGTAACCGATGGTGATAATAGTATCATAAGATGTATGTTACTTTATGATCATGGGATCTGTGACAAACTGGATCAAAACAAATTTATCTTGGGCTTTTTGTTTCTATTGACTGACTGGGTTCACGTGCATTATAACACAAAGAAAAACTCAACGACCTATACGGATATATCATTTAGTTGAGCAGTTGTATGGACTTATTTTGTCAGAAGTTATTATTTATTTATTTGAACACATAAATATTGGTATAAGAATGCGCAACACAAAACAATGAGAATTTAAAGGGAAGGAAAAGAAAAAATAATAACGAATAGGCTGATGTAAGGTGGTGTAATAATAATAATAGTAATCATGAAGGAACAGAAAGGTACAATCAGAAAAGATCGTTCAGTTAAGGGAAGATACAACCACTTTTTACGAAGGAACTAAAAGAAGGTTACAGCAGGGTCGCCACTGGCTTCTATTCTGAGCCATATCTGATAACGTCTCTAGCCACTGTTTAGCACCATCTCTCGGACCCCAACCAGGGAGTCGAGAAGGACCGACACAAGCCAGCCCTTTGCAGCTTTCTTTTATACCACGACACCATGTCATGCACTGACCACCTCTCCGCTTTTTCCAACCAGTCCCAGAGTCGGCAAACAATGCACGACGTGGAATTCTCTGGGACGACATTCGTAGAACATGTCCAAGCCACCGAAGTCGGTGTTTCAAGATGGTGACACCAATTGAATTATCATCTCTGTGCCCGAACACACGATGCCGAACCTCTGCATTACTAACATGGTGTTGCCACTAGATGTCAGCAATCCTTCGGAGACAACGATGATCAAACACAGAGAGTCGCCTAACGTCCTCAACTCGGAGAGGCCAGGTTTCACAAACATAGAGCAAAACTGCTCTCACCGACGCGTTGTAAATCCGACCTTTTACAGCCAGACTAACATCACGAAGGCGCCAAAGATGGCCCAGATTGGCATAAGCCGCTCTAGCTTTCACCATACGTGCATTGATCTCATCACTCACACCACCACCAGCACTTATGCAGCTACCCAGATACACGAACTTCTCGACTACTTCTATCTGCTCACCATCCAGAGTGAGTATAGCATTAAAATCCTGCCAGTCTTGTAGAAGTACTTTGCACTTCGAAGGTGCAAAGCTTATACCGTACCTACGGACATTGATTGCCAACTGATTAGATGCGGATTGCATGCTTTGGGCATTATCGCACAGTAAGACAATGTCATCCGCATACTCAAGGTCGAGAAGTCTTTCTCCGGGCAACAGATCCCCACCGCCATTACTTACATCCATCAGAGCTGTTTCTAGAATGTCGTTGATGGTCAGAAGTTATACTTACTATACAGTAAAGAAACAAGAAGTTTGAAAATCGCTATGACTCAAACAACCATAATTGATTAGAAGACATGACAAATGCGAAAATGGTTGGTGTAAGTCAATTTCAACAAGTACATTTGATTTAAAAAAACTCTGCTAATTGTATTACCGTGAATGGTAAATTGCATTTTGTCTTATCAGTTTCAGTATAACTTTTTTATTAGTTTGTTTAGGATTTTGTTGTTAACTCGACAAATTTGTCGGCTGTGAAATTGTGAATTGAACGGAACTATTTGATTCAGTAGTGTACAAGTGTGCTATCAGGGACTGAAATCCAAAATTAAGAAATGCAAGTACAAACAACACGAGTTAAACGACAGGAGAAACACCCATACATAATATTTGGGTTGTTTGAGAACTATAAAAAAAGTAATAATTAGTAATAGCATAAATTTGTTAATTTGGTAAATATCTCAGTTGAATTTCAGTGTAGTTACGTTCCAAACGTCAGGATACAATGATGTGGAATTTTATTCAGAATGGTAGGTTTAAAAGAACATTTGGTTTTATCATAAATTAAATACGAAGATGAAATAAGTAAGATTATATCAACAAGTGATGAACCAGTAGAACACAACTGATTGATTACTGGGTGGTGATCAATGTCATGTGTGTCAAGTCCCGTATCACCCAGCTTCACATTCAGAGACGTTACCACTGAGCTATCTGCGCTAAGAAGGACTTGACACACATGACATTGATCACCACCCAGTGATCAATCAAATGTGATTACCTCTCAGTCGCGGCGCGGATAGCTTAGTGGTAACGTCTCTGTGAAGCTGGGTGAAACGGGATCGAATCCGTCAGGGACCACCAGTTCCCTGAAGATTACAGTCACGCCTTGCGGACGAGTGCGAATTAGCACGAAACCTGGGTCCAGGGTTTCCTATTGACTACCTCCAACCATCATCTTATCTGAACTAGTAGAACAGATGTACATAGATACATAATGGGAAGGGGTATGCTCAGTAAGAAAAGCTGTAGTAAATTTCCAGAAATGTTACAATAATCTTAGCTATGGTCTTTACTTCTGAGTAGTTCTTATAAAGTCCATCCAAGGAAAGTTAGAAATGAGGCATGACTACATGAGAAAGGCTCTATTAAGTCTAATCCTTTACAATTTCTAGGAGAACGAAATTTTCTTTCTTTCTAAAAGAAGCCAATTAGTTAATATTGAACAATTATTCTATAGCTTAGATTTGATAAGTCACAAGAAGGACTCTTGAAAGATCAAGTAATGGAACGGGTACGAACACTTACTTGCAAGAGAGTTTTACCTATTTGAGCTGGGGAAGGTGTGACAACAACACCTGCACTTTCTAAAGCTGCCATTTTCTCTTTAGCACCACCTTTACCTAGCGAAATGATGGCTCCAGCATGACCCATACGACGTCCAGGTGGTGCTGTAACACCGGCAATAAAAGATACAACTGGTTTGCGGTTTGGACCCTAAAAACAAAACAAAAGGGAGGTCAGGAGTGGTTCATAGAAATCTGAGCAATCAATTTGTGGAAAGCATTTCAAGCTGTGATTAATGTGTGATAAGTTAAATATCCCTGATGAACATTGATTATTAACATAACACACATTTTTCTAGTACTCTTCTCTATAGATTTCTTTTAACCTACTCCTATAACAGCACGTCGAGGTAGGTGGTGGTTGATCATACGCAGTACAATTCACAGTGAGCTCATTCGATGAGGTTTTACTACCTAATCAACAGACTTGGTACCATTGCTTTGTACCATGCATCCAAACCTATCATTGCCAACTGGATGGTTCCAACATATTCGAGCAATGTTTCGAAGGCAACCACGTTCAAATACCGGTAACCTAAGAATATTCTCTACTTTTAAAGGGTACGAAGTAATTTGATTCAACATAAAAGTGGAGTAAGAATGTGAAGAAGTCAGTGTTTGAAACCTAAACAACAAACCTAATTCAATTTACTCTAAGACGAAGAAGCAGTTGGTGTGTTTTAGATAATGGAACGAGAAAATGAGGTTTCAAAACTATGTGATATATTAGCACAATGCAATAAGAATAATAATCTGATCACACATTACTACCGACGGCATATAATATAGGTCGACTAGACAAATTGCAGGATAAGAGAAAAACAGAAATCATAAAAAGATGCGAATCACACCGCTCTGAATATTCAACTAGGGTGAATACTTGGGTTTGCTGAGGCTCAAGCCATATGAGAATCCGAAAGCACCTCGGTTCGTGTACTCAAGAACAACCAGTACTTACACTAAACCTACCCTGGTAATGTTGAATTATTATCCAGAATGGTGTGATTCACATAGTTTTTCTTATCCTTCAATTAATCTGGTGAACCTCAATGTGATCAGATCATTGGTCGTATTGCATTGTGCTAATATATCACATAGTTCTTCTCGTTGCATTATTTGAAAAATAAGTCATCAATTTAACTCAATTCTTTCTAATTTTCCACCAAAATGACCTGATATTTTTAAAAACATTCTCTTTCATAAGTTAATTAATGTACAAACAAAACTGATTTTCTCTTGATTGTGTATTGCCTCACTTTGAGTACACAGCAGTTTTTATCTCCCTAGGCTACTACTACTGTGATGTAGGCTACTTATATTGACATAAGTAGTATATGATGTTAGTCATGAACAGAAGGTCTGGCAGGAGAGAGACAAGAGGATCGAACAGTAAAGAATGGAAACAGGATGCAATTTGTATGAAAATGCAAGAACAATGAAGTCTGAGTCATTTTGAGACAATTGGTGGACATTTTGCAAATTACTATATGAATGTTAAATTTTTTTACCAAGTCCTGTAGTTTTGTGTTAAATACATACGATTGTCCCCACCGATGTTCTGTTCACTACACTACTACTTGACAAGTATATTTATACACGTTTTGTAACAATGTTTCCCCCCGTTTAATGTATATGATCAGTATTCATGCTAAGTTTTCTCTCCTTTCTTTTTCTGCATTCAAATGTCGAGGATTGGTCACGCACAGTTTTACATTCGATAAGAAATACAGGTTTTCTGGACCAAACTTACAGTGTACGTTGAGCTATGAAGTTTCTGATCTAATTTATTCCGTACTCATTGTAGATCGAAACTTAACAGATGCACAGAAACACTGAAGGAAGTTGAACGTAAAAACTTACAGTATTATGCTCTTTTAAGAATTCGGCAGCTTGTTCTTCTGAGTCACCACCGATTTCGCCAAGCAGGATTATTGATTTTGTATTAGGATCTTTTAAAAACACCTCAAGACAGTCGATGAAGTTTGTTCCATTAAATGGATCACCACCGATTCCAATACACAGGGATTGACCAAGACCAACCTACAATTTGGTGATTCATAGTTATACATTACTTGAAATGGTATCTTGAACTACATATAAACAGATGCATTTTGAATAAGTGTCACAATTGATTACCACTAGTTTGGATTAGCTGATACACGTGACAAATGGAATAATACTTCTCGAATTCCTAGCCTGTGACGATTATAAAAAATATGTAACATGAAGTAACTGAAAAAAAGAGAACCTCAGTGGAGAACGACTTATTTTTCTATAAAAGTACATTTGTATTATATTAGTATTGTGTCTGAGTTTAGTCTACCGAGCTAAGGAACGATGATGAGACAAAACAGGGGTTACTATTATGTTATAGGTAGAATGGAGATGTACGACGTTGGGTTTACTGATTTCTAGTCAGTAATATCGGGAAAACAGTACTGTGCTACCACATGATCTTAAACAATTTATCGAAACGAACAGTTTACAGACTCGGGAAAATTAATAACTAATGAATAAATGGGAATCCTGAAGTAACATCATTATCTTATGGATTAGGTCTACGAGTCAAAACAAAACGCTAATGACTATAACTGGTTTCTGTTTGGTGACTTCTGTAACAACACGAACTTTATTAATACTTTCAGTGTTCGCACAAACCCGAATGTTGTGATTTAGGATTCACAAGGTCAATCTAGACACAATCGATGTAGGACCTAACGAAAGTGTGTTCGCCCAAGTTTAACTCAGTTTCATTTTGCCATTGAATATGCTCTAGACTCTATTAACACTTTTGTATGCACATTTTACATTCTACACAGACTATCTTCTATTTCACTGTTATGTCCTGTCCCTTCTTTTCATTAGTCTTTCTACATTGGTGAGTCATCGATCTGATTTCCAAAACTATTCTGCGCATCTCATTGCTTTGTGATTGGTTATTTCATTACCTTACGTATGACCTAGACGATCATGAGACTCGATCACATGTCCTTAGGTCATTTTATTCTAACTATTAAGAGCTCTCGTTCTAATTATTTTCTTTGTCTCGTATTGCTATTTGCTTTGGCTATTTGATAATTCTTTTTGAATCATTTAAATTGTCACGGATTTCTGTTCGGGAAATTTCTAAGACGAAAGTGCTATATTCGGAGTTTGTTTACCTATTAGTCTAACAATATTTGCATTAAGAGCATCGTATGTTATGTAGCTTTGGAGGGCCCTTTTCATTTCTTGGGCTTTGCTGAGACAACTACCAGTTCTTTGTATTGGTGTCCTGTTGTTTATACACGTTAAATTATTAGGTCTACATAGAATAAAACATACTTAATACCTATAACAATTTATTTCATCCTGCTTGATAAATCACTGTTTGAGCTGTTGAATCACAAAATGATTCCAGGCTTCAAGTTGTTAACTAGTGAGATACCTGGAATATATTGGAACCACGAGTTACTTAAATTCTAGACATCCTATTAGAATTTCTATTCAACACAATTTGCTTACATTAAAGCCTTTTGAGAAAACAAAGAAATATGGTAATTTCTGGTAGGCTGATGTGTAGTAAATGTTGCATGACAAACTTTGAAGTGAAGAAATATAGAGCCACTTAATAGATCTAGATGATGTACGTGAATCAAATGTAAATAATGTGGAAATGGTTGTGATATAACATTGGCTAATATATAATCACAACTTATAGCATCAATACAAGAGCCAGGAGTTCCCCATTTAGAATGATGGGACAACTTACATCAGTTTGAGCAGCTGGACAGTATCATTAGCTCTTTCATGATTGTGGCCCAGAGGAGTGCGTAAACCTGTATTTGGTAAGTAGTTTGGTTCAAAATATAAAATCTCCAATCCAAAAACACATGCTCGTCATAGGAGTTAATGCTAATTTTAACATTTTCTTAGCACATTCTAAGATATTAAAATTATCTGTCATGAAGAAAATAAACCCCGGATAGTGAATTGAAGGTTTTTAGAAGAGAAGTCACGCCCCCTGGCTTATTCTAGGTTCAGTAAGCTAAGATACGGAAGGCCAAAAACTTAAAATGCTCGCATGGATACAGATACAGTCAGATCTTGGGCATTTCCATATCGAATGAGAAGATAGAACAACAGTTGATCATGAGAATACTCTTTTCATCCCTTTTTTCAGTTACACCGGCCAATACTTATAAGTTGACTGACATAGGAACAATAATGAGTGATCTAGTAAATAACTTATGCAATTGTCAAACGTTGAAATAAATGGATATACTAGATAATTTGTCAAATACCTGTGTAGTTTGAAAGACAGCTTCGTAAGTTAATGTCCCCGATCTGGATACTATTCCTACCGTTCCTGGTTTATGAATATGTGCAGGCATAATACCAATTTTGCATACGTCCGGTTTTATTATTCCTGGACAATTTGGTCCAATTAATCTTGAGGCAGACTAGAGATGAATAAAAAAACACATGGTACACAAAAAGTATTTGGAAAGTAATTGGAGAATACTGAGTGAACTAAACATATTGAACCGAATGTAGAAACTAGCGTAGTGCAAGTATTAAGCCGAATGAATGAGAATCATTAACAATAACAACACAGTGGTTATAAGGACGACCCCTATCACAGAAACGATGTTTAATATCATTTAAGCATTGACAACTTGCAATATCCTTTTAGCGATACGGGTGAGTTTAGACTGTTTGTCTCTGATTCTTAAAAAGTAAACATGATGCACTTTTAATTGGTAACAAATATTACATTTACGAGGAAACAAGCTGTTTCGCATTATTATAAGGTGTAAAAGTTGGTAAGTTCAGTTCAAAGAGGGAAATGTATAAAAAAGGAACTGTTTTCAACAACATATCAAGAGATAAACAGTAAATCTGTATGACATTTATTAGCAAATAATAACAAGCTAACGTCTAAAATTTATTAGGTGGATATTAGTAGAGTTTTGGAGATATTTCTTATGTGCCTGAGGGAGGCAGCAAGTTGACCGTCTAACGTCATCAACTGGTCGGATATGTATATACAATAGGTACCTAAGAGATATAATTCTATGAGCAGTACATGTAGTGTGCACTGTAAGTAGTGAACATACATTTAAACAAGATGGCACTGAAGTCTGGTAGTGCAATGGTGACACCAAAGTACACGACACATGAATAGACTATTTCTGATATGAGTCACTATATTACTCTATCGAAGCTCCATTATACAGAAGTGACCCTATTAGCAGGCTAACGTTTGTTATTTATTAATATCAAGACGAATCACTGAGTGTTTCGCGAATACGCTCATATAAAAACACAGATAAATAAAACCTAGATTTTTATTTTGGTAGTAGTAGTAGGGAAAATAACGTTTTGGAAGAAATGTCTTAAATGGAACTAATAGGTGTACTCCTGAGTAAATATAAGTCATTAATAAAAACAGGAAAAAATGACTAACTTTCCAATACAATATAGGTGATAACTATTTAGTTGTTAATATATATGAGAAACAAACTTTAGGATAAGTCCAAAACACTAAAGAAAAGCAATTTATTACTGTATGATGTCTCAGAATAATAAATGGTGACAGTTTTATTTGCTATCTATTTAGAGATTTTCTTGTATTATTCCCTCTTACAATAGTGCTCCCTTGTCTCAAATTGCGTACTGACATAGACGCCTTATCATTGTTTTATAGACAAACATGCATTCTACAATAGTCCTTGAAAATATAACATTTGAGTGAAATTATGAAACTACATTACCTGTTCAGAAAGACGCTTTCGTACACGTATCATATCATGTTGTGGGATACCTTCGGTTATACAGACAATAAGAGGAATCTGTGCATCAATAGCTTCATGGATAGCAGCAGCAGCATGAGGTGGCGGCACGTAAATAACAGTGGCTGTCGCACCTGTAGCTTCCTTAGCCTCATTCACGGAGTTGAAAACAGGTAATCCAAGGTGGGAACTGCCGCCTTTACCAGGTGAAACTCCACCCACAAGTTTCGTGCCATAAGCAAGAGTTTGCTGAGAATGAAAAGTTCCTTGTTTCCCTGTAAACCCTTGACATATCAATTTAGTCTTGTCATCCAACAGTATATTCCTGCGAGTACTATTGTAGCATGACCGACGAACCAATCCTATAACTACAGAAACAAGACAATTAGAGAAAGCAAATACAAATATTTTCAAAGCATTCTTTTGCAAATTATTGTTACATCGGTTATGATACTGAAAACTATCTAGCATATCGGAATTTTACCAAATATCATTGCCACTAAAAGCTTGGGACATCGGGTGCAATGAGAGATAACTTATGTGGTTCCGTAAACAAAGCATGAAAACAGGAGTGGTAATAAGAAGAAACAGATAAATGACCGGTTTAAAGAAGCTTTGACAATTCAATAATAAAGAAACCGGTTCTAAACAAAGTAGAACCTGGTGCAAATGTACCGGTTCATGATGACACAATATACATTCACACAATGAGAGGAAACTAAAAATATGAAAAGTAGGAATCCAAATGATAGCCAATGAAACCGGTTTTGAGTCAAGGTTACTTCAGGTTTCCCCGACAAGAAAGTCTACATCTTCCAATTAGTTTTAGTTTGACATTCAATGAATGTGATTTCATTCCAGTTAACCTTGACGCTTTGAGACCTACAATAATGTCAACAGAGCATGTGTAACAAATGTTTTGATTACACTGGTTAATAGAGGTTATGTCGAACCAACCCATCGACAAGCGAAGTATGACAAATTTTTAATGAATTCAATTTAGTTGGATTGAACAACAAAAATGCAAAAGTTTTTTTTTACTCGCCCCCAAATGCCCTGGTACGGTTGAGAGTGGGGAGAGTCTGCTCTCCCTCTCGAAATGCTCACATGGCCACGCGTATATAGCCTCTGCCAGGGAATTCTTACTGCCTTCTCGTGGCGGGGAACTTGTTTACGAAATTGAGAGGACGAAAAGAGAATGTCTGGTGCTTTAAGCGGGTTGGTAGACATGGAGAGTCCACCTAGGGGAGTTGAAAATCCCTGATTTCAAACCAATGGTGCACATGGGCTCCGGTATCCTGAGGGAACAAATGGCATATGAACCAATCGTTGGTCACTGGTTACGATAGAACTGCATCTCCTTACGTTGCTCCACTGCCTCGTGGATTAGACCTTCAGGTCGAAGGCCCCAGTTGTGGCCCCCCGAGGAAACCACCCGCTTCGGTTTGGGCATCCGGGAAGTATCACAGCTCTCACACATATCAAATGAGATGTGTGGCGCATATGTATTTGGTGCCTCCTTGTACCAATATTCATGTGTATAAATAATAATAATAAATTTCTACTCGGAAAGTCACGATACAATAACAAATGTAACAAGTAAACGGAATTAAAGCCATACACAAATCTACACATTAGACTGTGAGGAAGATCTATTGTTTAGACTATTAGGCTGATGTTTTAAGGTGCAAAACTATGAGGTAACAAATTATTGCTTTTCGTCAAGCGTTTAAAAAAACAAGGAAACAATGTTTGATGTGGAGATCGATGAGGTGTATTAAAGAATATAACAGTCACCGGAAAAAAGTATTGAAGGACAAATTAGTTAACCAAGTAAAGGTTTTCAATCTGGTGGTATGAAATAAAGTAGTTATTATTAACAAGGTATTATTACGAAGTGTAGGTAAATTAATTGTACGAACCGAAAAGACGTATGCCAGAGTGCGTTAACTACCAAGCCACCGTTATCCAGATATACAACTGAAGCAACGGATGAAATACTCTCGGGTGCTATTTAGAGGATATCTTGAACGTACACAACTGGATTTAAATTTGGGCTTATGATAAACCTTCTGAGCTAAAAATCATATTCTAAAGGATCAACATCATATGATACTATCGTTAGCAGTTATGATCTGATAACTTTACAGGACAGTTGATTGGCGAAATCGGACATGGTCGTGTTGCACTGACCCAGAACTTAGTCTATGGGGGATCTTGACTTTTTTGTGACAATCATAAATTATCTTGGTTAGGATAAAATACTGCAAATGGAGGAACTACAATCCGACAACCCGGGTTTTCAATCACTAGATTAGGGGTTTAAAACAACGAATTATTTCAGTTTAGTAAATCCTAACTGAACTCCGCCTGTAGCTCTTATAGGGTTACTGCCGGTCCAAGCCCGGGTAAAGGAGGAGGGTTGGGCATGGGGTTAGCGTCCCCATCCCGTAGAAAACTAACTCGCTAGAAAAACGCTTACCAGAAAAAATAATCCAAACCATCTTAACTCTGCCCTGGGAGTTAGGTCTTCATTTAGAAGAATTATGACGCTTCATGGTGAAAGCCGAGTTCCTTCGGAAGCCACGAGGTCGATGCCCCTTCTAACAACCAGAGCAAAAATTTTTATAGGTACATGGAACGTTCGAACAATGTGGGAAACCGGGAAGACCAGTCAAATAGCAATGGAAATGAGGAGATACAACTTAGCAGTACTGGGAATCAGCGAAACCCACTGGACTCAAGCTGAACAGAAAAGGCTAGCTAGGGGAGAGATGCTGCTATACTCTGGTCACGAAGAGGAAAATGCTCCACACACTCAGGGAGTCGCTCTTATGCTGTCCAAAGTAGCACGAAATGCACTTGTAGGATGGGAATCTCAGGGACCCAGAATCATCAAAGCATCATTCAAAACAAAGGAGGGGATCTTAATGAATATTATCCAATGTTATGCACCCACAAATGATAGCAACGACGACATTAAAGATCAGTTCTACGAGCGGCTGCAGTCAGTCATTGAGAAATGCCCAAGAAAGGACCTAACTATTCTGATGGGAGATCTAAATGCCAAAGTCGGAATAGACAACACTGGATATGAAGATATTATGGGACGACATGGACTGGGAGAAAGGAACGAAAATGGAGAAAGATTTGCAAATCTATGTGCATTCAACAAATTGGTCATAGGAGGCACAATATTTCCACACAAGCGTATACACAAGGCTACATGGATCTCACCGGACCACACTACAGAGAACCAAATAGATCATATTTGCAACAACAAAAAATTCCGAAGGACAATGGAAGATGTGAGAACCAGGAGAGACGCTGACGTAGCTTCAGATCACCACCTAGTTGTGGCCAATTTAAAACTGAAGCTTAAAAAGAACTGGACAAGTGGACAAACAGCATTACAAAGGTTCAATACAGCCTTCCTTCGAGATACTGACAAACTCAATGAATTCAAGATAGCTCTCAATAACAGGTTCCAAGCCTTACAAGATCTACTGAAAGAAGAAGAAACTAGTATGGAGGACAACTGGAAAGGCATCAAGGAAGCACTAACTTCAACGTGTCAAGAGGTTCTGGGTCTAAAGAAATACCATCATAAGGAATGGATCACTACAGAAACACTGGACAAGAAGAAAGGAAAGGAAAAACAAGGAGGCAGCAATAAACAACAGCCGAACACGAGCAGAGAAAGTCCAAGCACAAGCTGAATACATAGAAGCAAACAAACAAGTGAAGGGGAGCATTAGAGCTGACAAGAAGAAATACGTGGAAGAACTAGCAACGACGGCAGAAAAAGCTGCTAGAGAAGGAAATATGAAACAGCTTTACGATACAACGAAGAAACTATCAGGGAAATACAGTAAACCAGAAAGACCGGTCAAAGACAAAGAAGGCAAGCCAATCACCGAAATTCAACAACAGCGGAACAGATGGGTAGAATACTTCGAGGAACTCCTGAATAGGCCGGCTCCAATGAATCCACCGGACATTGAAGCGGCACACACAGATCTTCCCATAGACGTCAACCCACCAACGAAGGAAGAAATCAGAATGGCCGTCAGACAAATCAAGAACGGGAAAGCAGCGGGTCCGGACAACATACCAGCTGAAGCACTGAAGTCAGACATCGAAGCAACTACAAACATGCTTTACCTTCTATTCAAAAAGATTTGGGAGGAGGAACAAGTGCCGATGGACTAGAAAGAAGGGCACCTCGTCAAGATTCCAAAGAAAGGAGATCTGAGCAAATGTGAAAACTATAGAGGCATTACACTGTTGTCAATACCAGGGAAAGTCTTCAACAGAGTGTTGCTGAACCGGATGAAAGATGCAGTAGACGCCAAACTTCGAGATCAACAAGCTGGATTCCGTAAGGATCGATCATGCACAGACCAAATTGCAACACTACGGATCATCGTCGAACAATCAGTTGAGTGGAACTCATCACTATACATCAACTTCATTGATTATGAAAAAGCATTCGACAGTGTAGATAGGAGGACATTATAGAAACTTCTTCGACACTACGGAGTTCCTGAGAAGATTGTCAACATTATCCGGAACTCATACGACGGACTACAGTGCAAAGTCGTGCATGGAGGACAGCTGACAGATGCATTCCAAATAAGGACCGGAGTCAGACAAGGTTGTTTACTCTCTCCCTTCCTCTTTCTTCTGGTGGTCGACTGGATTATGAAGACCTCGACATCTGAAGGAAAACACGGAATTCAATGGACAGCTCAAAATCAATTAGACGATTTGGACTTCGCAGATGACCTAGCCCTCCTATCATGTACACAGGAACAGATGCAGATGAAGACAGCCAGTGTAGCAGCAGTCTCTGCATCAGTAGGCCTCAGTATACACAAAGGGAAAACCAAAGTCCTCAAATTCAAAGCGGAAAACAACAATCCAATCACTCTTGATGGCGAAACTCTGGAAAATGTAGTCCTTCACATACCTAGGAAGCATCATCGATGAACAAGGAGGTTCAGATGCAGACGTAAAGGCAAGGATTGGCAAAGCAAGAACAGCATTCCTACAGTTAAAAAACATATGGAACTCAAAACAACTTTCAACCAATATCAAAGTGAAAATCTTCAATACCAACGTCAAGGCAGTTCTACTGTATGGAGCTGAAACTTGGAGAACTACAACAACCACAACCAAGAAGGTACAAGTATTTATAAATAGCTGTATACGCAAGATACTCAACATCCGTTGGCCGGATACCATCAGTAATAGCCTTCTGTGGGAGAGAACAAACCAACTTCCAGCTGAAGAAGAAATTAGGAAAAGACGATGGAAATGGATAGGACATACATTACGCAAATCGTCAAACTGCATCGCGAGGCAAGCCCTAACTTGGAATCCTGAAGGGAAGCGAAAAAGAGGAAGGCCAAAGAACACATTGCGTCGGATAATAGAAGCAGATATGAAAACGATGAATTACAACTGGACGGAGCTAGAAAGGATTTCCCAGGACAGGGTTGGATGGAGAATGCTGGTGAGCGGCCTATGCTCCTTCACGAGGAGTAACAGGCGTAAGTGAGTAAGTAAGTAAGTAAATCCTAACTGGTGTTTGTAGCCATTGTAAACATATGGCTTAATAAATAATGAATCAAAATTGCACTCTGGTATGAAGTAACATAAATTACCGTTGCACTGATGTAAAGCGTTAGCCCCAGTGTAAAGAGATATCCTTACATTTCTAGTCAGCTACAACGTAGGACCAGGCACATACATGCATCGGGTCCACGTTGCCACACCTCCTTAGCACAAGACGAACACCAGATTCATAGTAGTTACTTCAATGGTAGTAATACATAAAAGGATTGTGTATAAGACGAAAGGATTAGTTCGTAGAAACAAAGCTATTTTAATCTCAGGGTTTAAGGGAAGATAAAGAATGTAAATACCGATACCATCTCTTTCCACATACTAGTAACTTACGAGTATTTTCTACTCTTAATAGCCGTTTCGCAGCCGCAAAGTAGAACAGAACGAACTGCCGCGCAATATACTCGTACCTTAATTGCTAGACGGATATCTCGCCTTCGCCATACGTGATGAAAGTTGACAAAAGCCAAACGAGCTTTCTGAATCCATGCTGGGATTTAGTCAAACACCAACCAATTCGGGCTGATCAGATTTCCAAGATAAGTGTTGTCAACGCGTTCGACTACTTCACTCCCTATCCTCAGTCCAAGTGTTGACGCAGGTCAGTCCTGAAGCAACAACTTGCATTTCGAGGACTAGAAACGCATCCCAAACATCCTGGCATTGTTGCTCAATGCAACCAAAAGACTCTACACTTTATCGTCTTCACCAAACAGGATTGTGTCATCTACGTATTCTAAGTCAATAAGTGGACCCCATGGGAGGAAATCAATACCCAGAAATTCAGTCGACGAGAACGTTATTTTCAACAGTAGGTTTATAATAACATTAAATAAAAATGGAGATAGTGTACAGCCTTACTGAACACTACTTGAGGTTGCAAAATCAGATGACACTTCGCCATGAGCTCTGACTCGACTAGTAGTATTCGACTAAAGGGCCTTCACAAGGTTTATTTGCTTCTGAGGCACACCTTTCAATGACAGACACTGCCACAGAACCTCTCGATCTACAGAACCAAATGTTGCTTTTAAGTCAAGAAAAACTACCATTGTCGGACACCGATAATCATGACTATGTTCTAGAACCTAACAAATGGTGAATATGTAAGTCGATGCAATCATGACCAGGTCTGAAGTCAGCCTGATTTTCTCGTGTTTGCAGTTCACAAGTCTTTGTTAAGCGTTAGGCAATTATTGGTTAGTATTTTAGATGCTATATTAGTCAAACTAATCCCTCAGGATGATTTTGACTCCTTATATATTAGGACGATCAGTGATTGCGATCAATCAGGTGGGATTACGTCCAACTCCCAGATTTTAGCTAAAATATTGGTCAACCTAATCGCTAAAACTGGACCACGATTCTTAAAGACTTCTGGAGGCAATCCATCTGGACCAACTGCTCTTTCTCTTTTCAGATTAGCTATGGCTTTTCAAACTTCAATTAGGGTCAGAGAGCCTACTTCATTGCTTCATCCACGCTGTCTGGGAATGGTGGGTAGCTGTAGAGTAGCTGAACTGCTCCGCCCATCGTTCTAAACGTCTTGGCTGAGAGCAGATGTGTCATCTTTTTCCGAGATCGTTTCACTTACAGCCGACTTCTTAATTTGTTTCTTCTATTAGTCTGAAAAGTTGTCTAGTGTTACCTACAGCCACTACCTTTTCCATCTCTTGCTTTTGTTGCCCACCACTGCTCACGGTCGTTCCTTAGACTTGCTTAACCTAGATATGATTTGTTTTCGCTCTTTATCATGTTCGGAGCCTGATGAGATGAGCTAAAGAAAAACTGTTAGTGCAATATACTAAGTAGAAATCCACTGTTTCTTCGTGACCATTTGGGTTAAATCACTAATATATGTCGCCGCCGTTTCCACAGATGTTCGTATGTCTTTCCAAGCAACATCTGGGTCAGCTTCGTTTTCAGGACTGCTTAAGCATGACCTTACTTGTTCCTGGAATCTACTTTTGGTTTCCTCGACCGTTGCTGCTACTTTGAAATGGTGGTCGGGCTTGCCTATCGTAATAAACCAATCGAGCTATACTGGCTGAAATAATAGTTCTTCAAGGTCCTACCATACCAGACAGGCTGGTTGGATAGCGGTAAGACTAAAAGCAGCAAGCCCAAGGTCGGAGGGTGAAGTCGCATTGCCGACTGTACAGAGGTGTGACAGCAGTAAGGTGTCCCTTGCAGACAACTAGCACAACAGTGGTGCCTTTTCTCAAAAAAGGATTGGGTTAGAAAAGACTGGCCTTAAAAGTGCACACCTCGCCTTATTCGACAGATTTCCGTCTATGGCAGTAAGGTCCCAACAACACAGAGCTAACACGAAAACTACTCACAAAAAGGTCGTGTGACCGGGCTCAAGCAGTTGTCTCTTGGGTACTGCGGTCACGCTCTTAGGAGATTAAGATCACCTACAACCCAATTTCCTATTCGGGTACCCCGAGAACCTTTCCACGGTGTGGACAACCGGAAAGTGATAACCGCCCTCATACCTTTAACAGCAATCAAGATACCTATTTTTACGACAGAGAAATTAGCATAAGCAAGTTTTTAAAAGTTTAGGGTGAACTGCTAACCGAGACCCGATTGATAATTGAAAACAAAAACCAAAGTCAGTCACGTAAGCTATGTATCTAGTGGTGACTAGATGCTGAATACGAACCAAGTTTTAGAACACAAAGTGTTATTTTGAAACCACGCAGAAATAATATTTCTTTGTTGACTGAGAGGCTGTGAAATTATGTTCAGTGCTAAGGTTCCGAAATAAGAGTTGAAACGTGATAAACTGTGAAACTCAGAACACAGTTTCGCTCCAATTACAGACTAGTGTTACTGTCCTACTTATATTTTGATTGTATCAGTAACCAGAAACTGCTGAAAAGATTATCGACATCATTCTGCGGTGCCAGCTATTTGTTTTTCGTCTACTAGCTGTTGCGAAGTCCTTACCTAGAGCCCCATCCTATTAGTGACCTGACCTTTATTGATTGACAAGATTGTTGAGATATAAAGACATCACAACAACCTATTGAGAGTTGATAAGTCTTAGATGTGTCTCTAACAATTAACTGAAAACGACATAAGCCTACATCAAAATGTTCCAAATACAAGTTTTTAGCTCTTATATGAAGTTAAATAAGTTTCTAACTGTTTGTTGTCCTTGTTCAGGTGTAAAAAGCTTTATGGACAGATGCACGTCCGGAGGTTTTCCAACATCACAACTTTTACATAATATGGATGTTACGGATCGATACGGTCCCATATAACCTTACTGATGTTTAATGTTCGTAACTGGGTATAATGCTTCAGCCATCAATTTAGAAGGGCATAAAGAAAACGGGTCCGACTGCATGAAAAGCTTTATAAACTATACCACGCCTTATGTAGCTTCCTATAAGACATCACTACCTTGAAAATTCAGTGTGGGAATCTAATTAGATGGTCAAAATGAGGATTTACGGTTTCACTGTCATTGGTAGTGTTGGGAAGATTACAAACATACTTGGAGCGAAACTACGAACGTTCCGGGAGTTCATCGACGTTCATAAAACGAGCGAATACAATCAAACACTAAAACAAAAAATCATACTAGGTAGAATGCTTTTGTGTAAAATAATAACATATCCATATTAAGTCTTATTGCTAGACGTAAACGTAATGTTCGTTGTACGACACCGATGATGAGAGACTTTCCAAAGTAGCTCTCTTCAATCCTATTGGTAGAAAGATCATCGACAAGTTAGACACAAATGTGTCACGCAAATTCACGATTAGAAAGCGTCGCAGACTCATAACTGTCTTTCTAGGAATGATACTAGAGAATGGATGATCCACGACACGATGATATGGTATTTACATCATCCACAACTGATAAAGACTTTGGAGCTCTTGTTTCTATCAATGGTACAGTGGAGAAACCCCAATCAGATTATTGTAATGAAGTAAACGACAAACTTCGTTTAGCTGAAGATGTAATAAAATGTCTCTCTGAAAGATGTGAAGAACTGGAAAGTTTAAGCGAATATCTTCCGTGTGTTAGAAAAGAAATTCGCGGCCAAATCGAGCAAAGCATGCAAATGATACAAAGGTCTGTAAGTGAAAGACACGACTATCTGTTAAATGAACTTGATTCTTGTTTGAGTGTGAGAAATGAAGCTATAAATAAGTTACATACGGAATTCGAGACTCGACTTCAAAGACTATCTTCACACGTCGATCTATTGAAAAGACTTTTACATACACAACCCACTAATGAAATCTCCTATCAAACTCAAAAGGTCATTCAAAACACAGTTTCAAGAGATCTTGCTACTCAAAAACATAAAGCTGAAATCGAAAAGCTTATTTCTGCCCCTGTACCTTTGCACCCATCTGAAACTGATACTATGTCATTTTTCCCCACTGATTTAGATCAGGTTTTGAGTATGGTTAAGTGTGTTGGCTCTCTCGGCTTAACTGCAGTTGACGCTCAAAATACGAGCTTATCTGATAACTACTTGGATCATTTTGTCTCAGTCAGACGCTGCCAAGCGAACGAAGAAGTCAAAGTCGATATTATCACTAATGACAGGTTGGGCCGTGCAGTAGCGAATGCATCCAGTAAGGAATTTTCAGTCCTCTTAACTCAGAAAAACATCAGTGAGATGGAGGTTGGAATTCAAGAGAAACAAATATCAGACAGCGGTTCTAGTCTTTCACTTTATAGCAATCACAATGGAAATAACATTCAAGGAAATAATTTACAAGTTGTTTATAAAATTTCTCATCCTGGTTTGTACGATCTTAGAATTAAATTATTTGGTGAACACATAAAAGGATCTCCTTATTGTATAAGTGTTGATACTCCTCCTAAAGCAAGTCTACAAGCAATATCTGAAACAATGAGAGAAATTAGTGAATTACCACGTCGTACACTACACAGAATTCAATCAAGAAGACGTTGTCAGTCTGAACCTGTTTATTCAAATCTATCTGATCAGCCAACAGCATTAGCTGATCTACATAAAATGGAAAGAGGTGACTTTTTATATTCCGTTGGTACAAAAGGAAGAGGTAATGGTGAATTTGCAAACCCATCTGGAATATGTATTACAAGAGAAAATAAAATACTTGTCGCTGATAGTAACAATGCATTTATTCAAGTAAGTTAACTTTATTTATTTTTATAAGCTTTTTAATACATTAATATACATTATTATTAAGTACTTTTATCAGGTCGTTATATATATATATATATATATATATATATATATATATATATATATATATATATATATATATATATATATATATATATATATATATTGTAAAATCAGTAATAGTTTTAAGAACAATAGTTGCACGACTTTTGAAGATACTGTATTTCAATGAATACTTCTAATCTGATTCACTCATTCATTCCGTCAATCAATTAGTTAGTTTATCATGTAATCATTTTTCTTTCTAAAATCTCAGCATTTTAAGCAAGAAGAATACTTTCTAAGCTAAATGAACAATTTAAATATCGGATTGTATTGTATTCATTTGAGTTGACAGTTAGCCCACGTAACTACTTATCGTACAAGTACATTCTGAAAGTTTGTTTTATTTCATAAAGTATTTTACCAAATATAGCTTTTAGTATTCGATTAAGTTTTTACAAATATTGGTGTTATAAAAGTATTCTTGATAAATATCGAATTCTTTAATTTATAAATATAATTTATCAATAATTTCCTTAATATGAACACTGGCGTTGACTAAAGATTATTTTAGATGTTAGATAGTGACAACACATTGATTTTACATTCTAACTAGGGACAAAACACAAATACTTATACCCTATAGCCATAAATTCACAATCTAATGGCTTTTCATTAAAAATAAGTTACGAATATGTATTAGAAATAACGTTTTAATAAAAGAAAATACTGAAATAAATTAGTTGATATATTTCCCTAATTAAGGTATTGTTAACATTTTTGTTAATAAAATGAAACCTAGAAACTCAAGAAGGTCCTAGTGTTTAAAATAAGATTTCATAATTTAAATTTTATCACATACATAGGGATTTGTAACGCTGAAAAAATTATCTTATCTGTATGTTCAAGAAGTTAGAATTAACCTTGAAAAGAAAGGTTACCATTTTATTTTAAAATGGGAAACAAACACTTATCAAACATATGGCTTTGTGACCATTGTCAACTGAGTTTTAAATAAAAATTAGTACTAATGTTGTCGGAAATCATGATTATCTTGATTGATTCACTAGAAATGCATTTTATTCATCTTTGAAGGATAATACAATAAGTATAGTTCAACATTGATTTTAAACGTATTGACATAATGGTGGAGTTCTTTGTGCTAAATTTCAATCTGATGACACAATTACGTCAATAAATATTTTTGTTGAATAGATAATCCTGTTAAAGTTGTTTTATGATCAGTAAACATTTAGAAACTTTTAACAATATTTTTTTTTATAACAAACTTATTCTTATGTCTTATCCCTTAGTTCCGATTCTACGTTCTATAGTATAAGTTAACTAATTATTCATAAATTCAAATTTACTGAATATTACCTTATGGCATCCGAATTTGGTAAACTGCTATTTCTTACTAAACATTATAGTTACACTTTAGGGAATTTAAGACATTTAACAGTCATTCTAATATCTGAATAATAGTATTCATAATATTAAGTACATCAACTTTATATGGAGATAAAACACATTGGTCAAGATTCATTTTGTTTCTGTTCAACCTAAAAAAAAGTGTTAACTAAAAGTCTTCAGCAATCAAATTAATTTATTTTGAAGCTAAAATTAATCTATAACTAGTAAACGTTTTAGTAATCAAATGAACTTAACCACAGTTGGCTGTTATATGAATATAACATGTTTGATATCAATTTATACATTTGGACTATTTAAACCCAATGACTCAGTGTATATAGGTATTGAGATCGAGTTCTATTGTGAACAGAATGCAGGTGCATCTAGCTGATGAGTCCTAGATAAGAAGGTGTGTGGTAATTAGATTTTACTGCTAATCACCATACAACTTTATGAAAAAAATATGAATAGATAGTAAAGTGAAAGTGATCCTCTCAAGATGTATTTGTACCAAAAGAAACTGACCAATTGAATTTTGTAACGCCAACTATTACAAAATGTAAACCCTCATAGATGTGTTTAATCTATTAATCAATATATAAGTCGTAGGTTGTATATCTTCATATAGTTAACAGTTAATTTTAAAAACATTGGATCTATGCTTTTTCTGTCTCTAGAGACTATTTAATTAAAAAAAAATTTATAAAAACACTTTGATGAATTTTTTGTGAGAAGTCTTTTATTTGTATTGGCTGTGATTTTTTTTAGTATTCTGCGTTTAAGCGGATTTTAGGATCAAATGCAGTCGGTTATTGTGTAAATATTTATCCTTCATTTTGATTCATTTTACAATTACCTTGATACACGATCATGTGAGTTTTTCATTGGTGATAACAAAAATGTATTTACATTTCTTACATTTCACCTTGTCTTTAAACCATTGGGATGAACAACAATAATAACAATGTGACTTATTTAGAGATGATCGTAGTGTAGTTAAAAATTTCCAAAGTATCAAAACAAAATACCGCATATAAGAACAAGACTGTCAATATTATATGATCAGTGTGGATTGGGCCTCAAGTCTTCCTTTGTTAGTCCTGGTCGTCAATATACCTGTGAATGATACTTTGTTATCTGATCCGGTTTTCAATGTGAACTAATATGATTGAAAATGTTGTTCATCAAATTGCAAGTCTTGTCCATTTAGTCTCTTTTGATGATAATGAGTGTATCGTATAGAGAGCGTGTTCAAAACTTCGGTTTGATCATTAAGAAGACTAAAGTTTATAGTCTCTGGATGCTATTTATGTCACAAATTTAAATACTAATGATCCAACTGGGGTTATTTTTGTTTGTTTATATATTTAGTCGTTGAATTGAAAATTTGGTGTTAGACAAAACTAGTTGAGATCAACTAAATTATGATTACATGTACTTTTAAACTAATACGAGTTTAAGAAGAATAAAGAAATTAACTTGCTACTCATATGGAGTTCAGTAAAAATTCGAAAAACTAACTTCACAAAATTTAGGTTAGTAATAGAGGATATTAGACACATAATCATATTTGTAAAGAAAACTTCAGCCATTGAAATTAAATGACTCCAATATTTCTCCTGGTAATCTGGATAACTATTTTCATAAAAAAGCTTGAGTCAGATCGTTGGGAAAGTTCTTGAATTTAAAGGTTCTGGATACAATGTCCGGTTGTTTTATGAGTGCGTACTTTTGATCATTTCCAGAATCAATCAGTTTAGGTGTCTAATGTTGCTTGGGTTTAGATGATCCATCAATTACAGAGAATCTGTAGAGGAATCCATTCTAAAATATGATCTTAGGTCTCATGATTGTCTTCCTTAACTTTATTTTGATGGAGTTTTGTTCTCTGTGCTGGATGGTTTGGTCGTGCAAAACTCCATCAAAATCATTCACCTGAGCTACAAATCTTCTCCACCATCTCCTTAACTTTATTT